CAAAGTTTCTAAGACACTGCTGTTCCATGAACCTGACGAAAGTCTAATTGAATCCTACAAGTCAGGCATTGTGCTAGCCCTATATGACAGGTAAGTGTAAGTTATTGCTTTTGAATGCTGTAATTGGATGTGAAATGGTAATTGCTAGGTTTAAAATGAATTTAGACCTAAATCAATGCAAAGAAGAATGATTTAGCATGTTATAGAGATGAATTCTTAACATGCAAATGGAATCATAAATTAGGATTAAATAGTTCTCAACACCAGGCATGTTTATGACCTGCTGACATTTAAAGAGAGTTTGATGCTTTGAAAACTGTCAATGACAAAATTTATTGAATAAATTATTGATTTACATGCAAAAGCTAATAGGCTAAATCATTTATATGCTGTAAATGTAATGAGGTAATAGTAATGAAAGAGTCTGGTGGTATAAAAGCATCAAAGATAAGAGTTAAACATGGTAACCAAAGTTATAACAAGCGTTTGGTTCTGTTGACTTCGACATGTAAAAATTGCATTGGGTATTCTATTAATCTTGTGCATGTGTGCTGGTTTACTGGTTATGAGGGTTGAATATACATTGCTTATTGAGTTATCGTATTGAGAATCCTAAGCTATTGCTATGTTTAAGGAGAAGGCAAGTGAAAATGACTAACATTGTTGCTTATGATCTAAATGACATTAGCCTATTGTTATCTGATATTGACAAGTTTATGAATATAGATGATTCCAACAAGCTATTTGTTATCTATTGACATAATTGAAAGTAAGTGTTATGGAGATGATGTACCTTTGCCAAGTGTGTTGCTAAAGTATCTGGGACAATCTGGTATGTATTGGCTCCTAAAGTAATTGGGGCTGCCCCTAAAGTAACTGGGGTGTATTGTGATTGACCACTGTGCTGTTGGGTAATGCTTTGGCTGGTCCAGGCATAATGTGAGTGCACCACATATTAATTGATTGATTCCATAGCCATTGTTAGTAAGTTAATACTTCTATTGATGTGTTAATGTTCCATTAATTGTTCAACTACCATTGACTGACATATTGAGCTGTACAAGGCATGTTAAACTCACACTTTGGCTGAGCCTATCTATTGCAACAGTGGTAAGTCCTAGTTTAGTTATCACTGGATCACTGATAAAGTAATTATGCTATGCCTAATCTCTGGTATTCCATTATGTTTTGGGATTATGATAACCTATTGTCTATTTGATCAGTTTTTAATTGACTAAAAGTTTAATTACAGCTCAAAGTTAAAACTTATGCTTATTGGGCTTCATAGCCCACATAGTTGTTTTTCCAACCATTTCAGATTTGTCTAAAAGAAGAAGTTGGAATTTCTGGGAGTTTCAGGAGCTTTCCATGGTTGATATTGTGAACAAGCTTCCACAGCTTGCTAAGGTAAACTTGTATCTGCCCCAAACTGTATATGGCTCAATGCTTATTACAGTATATAAGTTGGTAACTACCCTGGGTGTAATTTGAGGAGTTCAAAGTTAATCTTCTTAGAAGAGTTTGTGAGTATATTTTGCATTGAACTCTTCCGCTGAACATTGTATACATGAGCTTTAGATCTTAAACTTAAACCATGATTTTAGATATAAAATACTATTTCTAAGCTTGCTCCTTAATTTACCATCTTCTAATGCTTTAGGTTATGCTTTAAGCTACAAAGGGTTTTTGTTGGCAACATGACTTTCTAATTGTAACAGTAATTGGTCTGTTTTTTCAGAACTCAAAGGCTAAAGTCAATGCCTTCATGATTTATTAAGTATCTTATTTCTTCTCAAATCATAGACCATGAATCAGTTAACAATGATTTCAAGTCTTTTGTTCAAACTATGATTTCTAGCAGTTTTTCTTGATTTGAAGTTTAGTTCATGTCTATATCCAAATCTGGCCTCTCCCACAGAAGGCGCAGTTCTGGGATATGACAATACCAGTTAACAAAGAGTAAATACAAGAACTGTCATTTCTTGAGTAAATAGAAGAACTATATACAGTAGAAAGAGTTTCAATGTACGCATCAACTCTACATAACAGAGTCGGCAGTGGTATACAAAGGTAGGCATCCAAGTGAAGATTTCATGACAACCCTCCAGCCCTGAAGCATATTAAGCTAAGTTCCCAAGCACGCTGATACAGATCAACACCCTCACTTACTGTTACCACGTTGCTCCCTAAGGATTGAACTATCCATAAAAAGCACCCTAATGCAGCAACCAGAACCATGACCCTTCTACATTTCCTACTTGTCAAGAACCTTTTAGTCCAGAAATTCATATCTTACAAACACTAAACTGACAGGGAATAACAGGACCATTCTCTGTGTACAATGTACATTGAGAATTATTATTTATGAACTCTGTTTCAGGCTTTCAGCCTATACAACATTCATGATTCAACCAAAGACAGTCATTTCTCAAACTTCATTCTAAGATGGGACTAATAACCAGTTATATACACATTGACATGAAAAGATAACAAGGGAAGCATTTGGACTCACATTCAAGCTCTCGCCTTTAGCATGGATTCGGTGTAATCCAAACAGGTGGTGGCCATTGTAACGTGTAGAAGAAAAAACTAGGCAATGGTTTAATGCTTCCATCACCCAAATTGTAAATGCCCATATCATCTCCAGTACAAGCTCCATCATGGAAATTATTTTCTGAGTAATCATCCGTATAATATATGCGGTTCCCCACACAACCGGGAAAATCAGATGCTTGCAATGACAAGGAAGAATTTCCCCCAATGTACAGCGCCTCATCCCCTAAGCTTCTTACTTCTTTCCATACCAATACACTCCAATCCAGTCTAAAAACATCAAACTTCCTAGTTCGATACCCAGAATTATGCCCGTACAATCCAGTATCATCGAATTCAAGAGCAAGGTGCCGCGTGATCAAGAATAATTCATCACCGGAACCCACCAAATACCGTATATCACCGCCGACGGCCAACAGCGGCCATGTTCTGATGAAAGAAACTTGAGGCGAAGCACCACTTACATCACAAACGGCAATCTCCCCATCAATATTCACAGCGTAAAACAATCCTTGGAAATATATAACATCCTCAGAGAACGAATGTGCAGCTTCAATAATGCTCCAAGAGTCACTGCCGCTCCTGCAATAAGCCAAATCCATGGTTTCGTTAATAATCGCCATGGCCACAAAATTGGGATCCTTTGATGGAGAGGAAGAGAGCACGACTTTCTTAATGAAACAATCTCGCATATACTGCAAGCTTCGGTTGTAACGAATACGGTAGGGGCACTGGAGCTCGTATTCATTGCTGATATGGGAATAATTGAAGCCAGTAACCTTGGGGAAAGTGGAGAGCGGAGGAAGGTGGACCTTGGCTCGAGAGAGTGGGTTGAGGAGGATAATATCTGGGGATAAATCGAGGATAACGAGCCAGCCTTCGGAGGAGCCACGGTGGCGCTTGGCCGGGTTGGTGGAGTATTCTGGGAGGGAGAGATGGTGGAGTTTGTCGGTGGAGAGATCGAAGATGGCACGGTAAGTTAGGTGAGACCGAGTTGGAGGGAGCACGAGCCAAGGGAGCTGAGGAGGGAGGTCAAGAGGGATTTTTGGGACGGCGGATCGCCAGTTCCGGCAGACGGCTCGGAAGCGGACGTAATCTGCGTAGATTTTGAGGTTTTTGGAGATTGATTCCAGGAGCTCCGCCGGAAGTTGGGTCCAGTCAACGCCCATCTTGCAATTTCACTGTAAAATTCTCTTTGCTCTGCCTCTAAGAAAGAATTTTTTAGGGTTAGTTAATAATATAAATAGTTTAGGGACGTTGGTTGACATTTTTATATAATTAGGGATTATTGTTGCAATAACTCAAAAATAGAAGGCAAAAGCCTAGACTGACTCCTCGCCTTATTGAATTCGTTGTTCTTACTCTCTTATCTTATATATTGAAATTTTTAATTTCTTAACAATTTAATTTAAAGTAAATAACTTGAAAATGGTGCCAAGAAAAATGAAAATAGTATCTATTTTGATTGAATTATTAGCATTGAGGGGCTATTTATGTATTATCATTATTTTTAAAATAAAAAATAATTATTTTTAATAAATATAATAAAAATTAAGTAAATTTTAATTATTAAAAATAAATAATTAAAATTTTATATAAATATAATAT